GCAGGGTCAAGTACATATTTCGTGGCAATTGTAGCACTTTCGCAAGGTCACGCGCATATTTCGTGGCAGGCGCAGCACTTTCACAAGGTCATACACATATTTCGTGGCAGGTGCGCAGTTGGGGCTTGAAAATCGTAACTTTTAAATACGAAAGTAGTGCGCGAAGTCCATTTTCGCAATCGGGCTTGAAAACCGCAACTTTTAAGTACGAAAATAGTACACGAAATCCACTTTCGTAGCTAGGGCTCAAAAATCGCAACTTTTAAATACGAAAGTAGTATGTAAAATCCATTTTCGGAATTGGGGCTTAATAATCGCAACTTTTAAGTACGAAAGTAGTACGTGAAATCCATTTTCGCAGTAGGGCTCAAAATTCGCAATTTTTAAGTACGAAAGTAATACGCGAAGTCAAGATAGAAACAGAGAGAGAGATACAGAGATAGAGAGATAGATAAATAAATAGAGAGAGAAAGATAGATAGATAGATAGATAGAAAGAGAGAAATAAAAAGAGAGATAAAGAGATACATAAATTTAAAAAAGAGAGATAGATAAATAGATAGATAGATAGATAAATAGATAAATAGATAAATAAATAAATAGATTAGATAAATAAGAGAAATCGATAAATAGATAGAAACAGAGATAGAGAGAGATACATAGATAAGTAGATAGATAGAGAAATAAATAAATTAATAAAGCGATATATAAATAGATAAATAGATAGAGAGGTAGATAGATAGATAGATAGATAGATAGGTAGAGAGAGAGGTAGATAGAGAGATGGATAGATAAGATCTATAGATAATTAGAAATACAGATGGATAGATAGATAAAAAGATAGAGAGATAGATAAATACACGTGAGATAATGAGATAAAGAGATAAATAGATAGATAGATAGATAGATAAATAGATAGACAAATAGAGAGAGAGATTGATAAATAGGTAGACAGAGAGATATAGAGATAAATAGATAGAGAGAGACAGATAGGATAGATAGATAGATAGATGGATAAATAGATAGATAAATCGATACATATGCGGGAGATAGATGGAGAGATAGATAGATAGATAGATAGATAAAAAGAGATAGAGAAAGAGATAGAAAGATAAACAGATAGAAAGAAAGAGAGATAGAGAGATAGAAAGATGCAAAGAAAAATGGATAGAGAGACAGATAGAGAAAGAGAGAGACAGAGATGGAGGGATATAGAGAGATGGATAGATAGAGAGATAGATAGAGAAGATAGATAGAGAGAGATAAGCAGATAGATAGGTAACACGAGAAATAGCTAGACAAGTAGTAAGGTATAGATAGGTAGAGAAAGATAGATAGACAAGCAAACGAAAGAAAGAAAGAAAAGACCGATAGAAAGAAGGAAAGAAGGGAGGAAGGAAGGAAAGAAAGGAAGAAAGGAAGAATGACGGAGAAAAAAGAGTCAAGAAAAGAAAGAGAAAGATAACTATAGTTTTTATATTTTTGAAACTTCCGCCCGCCGGCTTGCCGGCTTTACTGGTATAATCCATCCCGTCGTATAAGCCCCAACATGTCACATCCTATTATAAATTATATTATCGTCCCTCGCATCCCATCGTGTAACCCATCGCAAATTCCGTCGCAACCCCGTTCTTAATCCCCGTCCCCCACATACTCCAATTCTTTGGCCCATGTTGTCCCCTCATGGATGCGCGGCCTGTCGTAGTCCAGTTATTTAATCCGTCGTAGATTCGTCTTGTGTAGCCCGCCACAAGTCTCGCAATAGCTTTGTCGTGGCTGCCATCGTGTAACCCACGGGTGTTTATTTAGCCCATCCAAGCGTCGTCACATCCTGTCATACACTATGTTGTCGCCCCCCCATCCCGTCGCATAGCCCGTCGCAATCCCTTGGCCCGTCGTAGTCCCCCCACATAGCCCATAGTACATCCCTCCTCCCTATCACTCGGTCAATCGTGGACTCGTCTTGTGTGGCCCGTCACAGGTCGCGCAATAGCTTCGTCGCGGATACCGTCGTGTATTCCATGGGTGTTTATATAGTCTTGTGTGGCCCATCACAGGGCTCGTAATAGCTTCGTCGCGGGTGCTGATCGTGTAACCCACGTGAGTTTATATGGTCAATCCCGTCGTGTAAGCCCCAACATGTCACATCCTGTCATGAATTGCATTGTCGCCCCTCGCGTCCCATCGTGTAGCCCGTCGCAAGTTCGTCGCGGCTCCGTCATTGGCCCGTCCCAGTCCCCCACATATTGCCCGTGGCACGTCCCTCCTCCAATTCTTTGGCCCATGTTAGTGACGGCTGTCCCCTCACGAACGCACGGCCTATCTCCGTCGTAGACTCGTTTTGTGTAGCCCGTCATAGGTCTCGGAATAGCTTCGTCGCGGGTTGCCGTCGTGTAACCCAGGGGTGTTTATATGGCCCATCTCGTCGTGTAAGCCCCAATATGTCACATCCTGTTACGCACTGTGTTATGGCTCGTCGTATAGCCCGTCGCAAATCCCGTCGTAGCCCCGTCATTAGCCCGTCGTGGTCCCCCATATGGCCCGTGGCACGTCCCTCCTCCCAATTCTTTGGCCATGTTGGTGACGGCTGTTTTTTTCATGGATGCGTGGCCTATCGTAGTCCAGTCATTTCATCCGTCGTGGACTCGTCTTGTGTGGCCCGTCGCAGGTCTCGCAATGGCTTCGGCGCGGGTGGTGTTTATATGGCCCATCCCGTTGTGTAAGCCCCAACATATCACATCCTGTCATGAACTGTATTCTCGCCCTGTGGCCCCCTCGTTAGCCCGTCGTGGTCCCCCACACATGGCCCATAGCACGTCCCTCCTCCAATTATTTGGCCCGTGCTGGTGACGGCAATCCCCTCATGGATGCGTGGCCTGTCGCAATCCAATCACTCGATCCGTCGTGGACTTGTATAGCCCGTCGCAAGTCTCGCAACGGCTTCGTCGCAAGGGCCGTCGTGTAACCCACGAGTGTTTATATGGCCCACCCCTCGTGTAAGGCCCAACATGTCTGTTGATCATGAACTGTGTTGTCGCCCCCCCGTGGCACTCCATGTTGGTGGCGGCTGTCCCCTCCTGGACCGCGGCCTGTAGCCCACCACAAGTCTCGCAATAGCTTTGTCGTGGCTGCCATCGTGTAACCCACGGGTGTCTATTCAGCCCATCCCGTCGTGTAAGCCCCAATATGTCACATCCTGTTATGCACTGTGTTGCGCCCCCCCCCATCTCGTCGTATAGCCCGTCGCAAATCAGGTCGTAGCCCCATCATTAGCCCGTCGTGGTCCCCCACATGGCCCGTGGCACTCCAATTCTTTGGCCCATGTTGGTGGCGGCTGTCCCCTCATGGATGCGTTATTTGATCCGTCGTGGACTCGTCTTGTGTGGTCCGCCAATGGCCTCGTGGCGGGTGCCGTCGTGTGACCCATGGGTGTTTATTATGGCCCATCCCGTCGTATAAGCTGCAACATGTCACATCCTGTCATGAACTGTATTGTCCCCCCCCCCCCCCCCCCCCGTGCCGTCGTAAAGCCCGTCGCAAGTTTGGTCGTGTCCAATTCTTTGGCCCATGTTGGTGACGGCTGTCCCCTCATTGATGCGTGGCCTGTCGCAGTCCAGCCACTCGATCCGCCGTAGATCGATCCGTCGTAGACTCGTCTTGTGTGGCCCGTCACAGGTCTCGCAATGGCTTCGTCGCGGGTGCCATCGTGCCACGCACGGGTGTTTATCTGGCCCAATCGGCCAGTTAGCCATCCCGCCGTGTAAGCCCCAACATGTCACATCCTGTCATGAACTGTATTGTCGCCCCCCTGTCCCGTCTTGTAGCCCGTCGCCGTGCCAAGAACAGACCAAATCTCGTAGAGCCCGCGCCGGCAAGACATTTTTTGCAACTCAGGCACATACACATTTTTACTCTTCGCACGCGAAAAGCATGCCATTCTCCAAACACAGGTCGCGAGATGCACTGAGGGCCGGGCTGGTCGCGCTAAAGAGTCAGTGAAAGGCGATCGCCTGAGCAAGGTGAGAACGGATCCGCGGGCTGTTGGCCTCAAAAGATCCATCCACATATGCAGTTGTTGCAAGCGAAAGCGAAAACGCGATCGACCAGAAAGCATCCTGGGCGCAAGCAAAGCCGAAACTCTCAGAAGACGGGCGCAAGATTTCAGCCAAAATGGCTACGGACAGGCAGATATATGCCCCGACTCTTTATCTGGAAGACACAACGGCTTCGCTCAAAGCCCGGACCATTTTTCCGAAATATCCCGGATATTTCGATAGTCGCACTCCAGACCATTTTTCCGAAATATTCCGGATATTTCGACGATAGCATTTCCCGAAATAATTGGAATATTTTGGGAAAACGGTCCCCGGAATATTCGGAATATTTCGAGAAAATGGTGGGTGGCTGCGATTCCCGGACGGCTTTCCCAAAATATCTGGAATATTTTGGGAAATTGGTCCCTACAATAAATGAAGCCACTATGTCTTCCGCACATATGCCCGGGGTAGCCCGGACAGATTTGGGCAAGCGGTCCGTAGGAAATATGAAGTGGTTACATCTTCCAGGGGCAGCCCGGACCAATTTTCCGAAATATCCTGGATTTTTCGGAAAAGCGGTCCGGGAAAACGCGCGCAAGTGCGACGAGCAAGTTTCACGATTTTGTTTTATAGAGTAATAAAGTTATAGAGTAAATAACTTAATATTAATCAATATCAACATACTAAATATCTTTTGTTTTAATATATATATATATATATATCTCATGTTTTAATTCAATATAATATTTACATCGATAATCCAAATGTATATCAACCAAATAATATTAAAAAAACAACAACAACTATTTTTATAAGAATCTTTAATATTCTATATTTCTTGATTTGTTTAAACTATTTTTGTATATTTAATATATAATTTCAGCCATATATATATATATAGTATTGATATATCAAGAAATTTAATTTAAGGTATTTGCTATATTCATTCGTTGTATGCGTATTATCATTCCCTCATGTGCGTGCGGCGCCGTACTCAAACGCACAAATGTTGCAAGGGCTCATATCAACCCCAATCATCCTTGTGACAGCATTGACAGCCAAGTTGATCAACTGCCATTTGAGTGACGCAAGACTATGCATGCCAACTTTAGGGATCCCGTGTAATGTCTCAAAATTAGGGATCCCACCTTTGGCCCATTTCACCAATCTTAAAAACCAATCGCTTGGCGTACCTTGCCTGCTCCACACTGCGCTGGTGGTGGGTGGTGGGTGGGTGGGTCGGCAGGCGGGCGGGTGGGTTGGGTGGGTGCGTGGGTTGGGTGGGTGGGTGGGTGGGGTGGGTGGGCGGGTGGGTGGGTGGGTGGGTGGGTGGGTGGGTGGTGTGGGTTTGGAGACTCTAGGGACAGTTTGCACCGAGGTGCGCTTTGCAAAGACCTCCCGCAGAGAGGCACTGTCCGTTGCTCGTGACTGCGCACTGGACGTAGTAGTTGCCGTCAGAGCTCCTCAAATGGGGGGAAACAAAACAGCCTCAAATCATGCCAAGAGCAGTGAAGCTGACCTGGCGGATGCCACCAAGTTGTTTTGACCTCTGCTGCAAAGTCAGGCACATCCAATTGCGCCGACTTTTTCTGCAAGCTGGACGAGCCCATGTCAAATGACCGAGTGGTTGCAATCTTTCTGATGACCAATATCCCCTCTGTTCAGTCGGATCCGGCAATTCACACCTGTCGGAACCAGCCAATCTGGGCATACTGCCGGAAATCGAAAATCCACACCAACAATCTGGGTTTTCTCTCTTTTTACCGGTCCTCGGATTGGTGAGCCTATTCGTGCAGAGCTGACCAGCGCGTGCGAAGTCCTGGTGTAGGACTGGCTGCACTTGGCGGTCTCCACCTTGTCGCACTCCCAAACCTCCACGAGGGAGCCCTTGCACCACCGTGTTGCCTCCAAAGTGCCACGCCAAGTTGCGGAGCTGGATAGAACATGCCCGCATGCCCGTATACGTGCGTAGATGTGCACAACATCTAGAACTTGAAGGGGGGCGGAGTTTGCAGAATATCGACTTCGAAGCTTCGATTCTGGCCACTCGGGTGTTTCAGATACGAGGGGCCTTGGTTTCCGGAAAGTGGGCCGAGCGCCTTCACGCCATGCAGCTTTTCGTGATACTCAGCGAAGTCTACGTGCTAGGAGCGTCTGGGCTGGCTATGGATGCGACAGACTGGAGTTTCCAGTCCATCAGCTGACGGCCACCGGCTTTGAGCAAGCTGGCCATGTTTCATGCTTTTGTTGGGTTTCCTCTTGTGCGTGTTCTTTTGCTTGATCAAGGATGCAACGAGAGATAGAGTCTGAAACACTCTGTGTATGTTTGAGGAGAGCAAAATCAAGCTGCATTTCGCTTGGTGGCCAAAAAGAAAGAAGCACACTGGCTGGTTGATTTTAAAGGGAAACCCATTCCCTTCCACGTCTTAGAAGGCTTTTTGGTTCCGCGTGAGGACTACTTTCAACACCATATCGTTTGGCACATTGACTAGGAGATCCTGTCTTTCCTGGCCGGTAAAACTGCTGCCTGTGACTTCATTCCGCGTTATATTTTCTTTATGGGCAACACAGTTTTGGGGGTCGGAAGAACACATTCCTTCCTATGAAGTATTCCTAACTGCCCAGGCTGGTTGTTGACCCTCTGCAAAAGTCTGTCACACCTTGCTATAGGGAAATAGTCCTTCTCCAAAAGTCATCCCTCCAACAACCATGGAACACAGTGCTCCTTTGCTTAAAGGAACCTGCACATCTCGGGCCAGTACACCCCCCTGCAAATCAACATAGACCCAAATAAAAGCAAACTCCTCTCAAAACTAGGATTTCTTGTGTTCCTTCCAGTAAATATATGCAGGGGTCTGATGTGCCCTTTAAGACAAGCGCTTCGTGCTCTGGGTGGAGACATGGGTTGATCAAGTAATTTAAAGTGACAAGACATGGCCCGAACCCGGGCCTCGGGCACCAGAGCGACTGCGTCAGAGGACATCTCCATGGAAGCGCCTCCGGGCGCGCAGGGGTTCTATGCGAATGGAAGGGTGTCGCAGCGATGCTTGAAAAAAAAACGTCTGGAGGATGGGCATTTGTGAAGTCACAATCGGTGAAGGAGAGTCAAGTCATGGGCCCTCCTTCTGAAGGGTCTTGGGGTTGTGATACTCCATACTTTGGGAATGGCTGTGTGTGTGTGTGTCGCAACCCTGAATGATGGTTGCGGAGTTGCCAAAGGTTTGGGCCCCTTTTGGCGGCACCGGTTCGACGTCATTCTGCGCCACCTTTAAAGGCCCTTCAAACGTCACCATGTTGTCCACCCTCCGCATGCCAACGACTCTGAAGGATTGATATCCCAATCCTGGCACACCACAGTGGGAGACAAGCGTTGTGACTCTAAACATCTCGCACATGGTGAATTATACCTGCAAGCTGGCATGCCTTGCAGCGTTCTCAGGGAAGGTGGCATCAATTCTCATTCGGGCTTCGGTGGGCGGGATTTACGCGGATCCATGTCCAGCAACGCTCTGATCCCTGCTGGCAAGTCCCCCTGTGGTGCTTCTGACCGCGCACAAATGGACGGTTTGTGTTTGTCTCTCCAAGAAATCAGAACCGTGAGTCAAGTGTGTCAAGTGGGCAGAGTTGGGCCACAAGGGCACTCAAAAATAAGTTGACCGAACACTGAAAGCGCAATACACTGAAACACAGCTTCCAATCATGATGCTCAACCTTTGTAGCGAAATACTTGATATGATCAACATGTTGTTCCAACAGGGACCACACACAATATGGGGCATTGACATCATTCTTCGTCGTCCCCGTGCCAGTCCTAGCAAATTGCATCGTCGCCGGTTTCTTTTGAAACCCAGGACGCTTAAGCAATAATTAAAGTTAGCTTAAACATGATAAGCAAGTGCTTGGCCCAAACTGCGAAGCCTGCTCCTGAGCTACTTGAAGCTTTCAGCCCGCTCTTGGGTATGTTTTCAGGGAAACCAAAGAAGACACACCCTCGTTGTTTGTATTTTTCAGGGGTGTCCAACCAGGCGTAACAAACCCACAAAAAGCTGCCGTTGCCGAGCCGCACTCGTCGTACAAGTGGCACCAGCCGGTGGATTTGTAGAACGCCGCTCCGAAGCCTTGGGGTTTTAACCGAAACGGGGAGGGGTAGACCACCGCTGTGGGTGCTTCAAATTGCTGACCCCAAATTCATCCTTTTTTTTTGAACACCTCTTTTTTTTTCTCGGTGGGACGATTTACTTTAACAGCTACGTAGTTAAAAGGCGTTGTTTTGTCGTGTTTGAGCACACCAGCATATCCCCACTATATAAAGGAAATGCACACAATTGTCCAGTAGTCCTTTGGGGTAGTGCAACGAACCAATAAAGCACCAAACAACCGCAGGTTCTAATCCTTGGTTCCATTTTCCAGCCTGCCATAAGCTCGGGTGATATCCCCAACAGCATGCGGTGCTCTTTTGAGTGCTCACACCACCCCACAGCCCTCGTAGAACCTCGTGGAACTTTTGTGGAACCCTGGTGGAACCTTACCTCAGGGCCGCCCCGGACCACCCCGGAGCCTATCTGGGCTGAGACCCCAAAGCTTCCAGCTGTTGGGAAAAAACACTACTTTTGACCCACAGCCATCGTATGACAATGGACGGTCTATGGGAAACTTGGTCGCGAGTTTCAGCCACGCAACATGAAGCCAACAATTTGGAGGGGCCCTACTTTTTGCGCCCATCAGCCACCACGGCGCCTGGCAATGGTTCGGTTCCACAACAATCTCAATGCGGTGAAGGGAGGCTCTCAAGCAGAAAGCTTGGCAGCCCCTGCGCTGCGATGTTGAAATCGGCCATGGCATCGCCCAAAAGTCGGGACGGCCCGTAAAAACCGCGCTTGCGAAAGGCCAGTTTCAGCCGTGGTGCAAAGCTTCGAGGGGCAGTTGGCCGCTTGCATGTTGCCAGTGCACTTCTGGGCACACCTCAGCCAAGGGCCAAGGCACTTGTTTCATATTCAGGTTTGCCTCCAAAGGGGCATGACCCGCTAAATGAGTCGTTTCCATGTTGGGTCAACCAAAGGGCGAAATCCTCGAGGCACAGCCAGACTGATGTGGATCTATGTGACGGGGGCAATGAAAAACTTCCGGGCAACGACCTTTCTATGTCTGAATCAGTGATCCATTTTTGGCAATGGGATGGGCCTGCAAGCTGGAATTTTGGACATATCCACTCAGAACGGCGTTTATCCTTTGGTTTTCCATGTAAGCAATCCTGAACCTCTCTTCTTCAAAAGCAGAAGAATCCTGGCATTCAGACTGAGGCTTCGGAAACGTGAAGTTTCCCAGAGATGGATCCCCCACATTCGTATCCCGGTCCATCTTTGAACATCTAGGAATCTAGGCTTGAAGATCAGCTCCTCTTGCCTCAGCTGTTGCCGCAGATGTTGTTAGGTTTGCTTTCTACATCGGGGGTTCGAGGTGCCCTATTTCGAACCTAGCTCAGTCCTTGAGGTTGACCCAACGTTCCCACAGTGAAAGGGGAGAAAGGGCCACCGGGTTGTGCGGATTATGAACGGCAATCCCTAGTGAAGGCATATTGGGGCTGGTCCAAACCAGATTTGCCAGCCTTGACCATTTGCCTTCTTCAGGAAGTCCCATGTTCGGATTTGGAACAGATCTTAGCTGGGATTTCCCTTTGGTGGAGGTGGCTCCCGCTTGATCCTCTTAGATCGCGCATGAAACTAGGGTCCTGCAACGCCCTTTGTGTACTTCCCGCCCTTGGGGGAAGCCTTCCCGAGCATGTTCAGGTATGGGTTGTATATGGAGGTTAACGGATTTGCCACTTCATGAAAATTTTTCACGCTGGACATTCTCTAAGCACCGGACTGCGCCTCGGTCAGGCCCTTCCAGCCATCGCAGCCAGCATCCACATTGAACCTGGGCTGATTTTGGAGCTGATGGCGTTTTGGGGCTGTTTTGAAGAGAAACCATCCATTTTCCCGTTGAGTGGTTGCTTTGAAAGAAACCTAGAGGCGCCAGAGGGGAACACCAGTATGCTGACGCCCGCTATTTTGAGACATCCACCGCCTAATTTGCGCGGCGCAAACACACTAAATGATGGCAGGGTTGTATGAGGGGTGTTCATCACGTTCAGGACTCTCCCCGTCTGTGCCGGCGAGTTTTGAAGGGAAAAAGGGCCAAAGCCAAATAAGTACAACGTTTCATGTTGGTGGAATGGGGCTGAGAGCAAAGACACAGGCCAGGGCTCACACCGCATCACTTCATCAGCAATCTTTCGTATGCCAGCATTGTTCTGTGGTGCCCTCCCTGGTGTCATGAGTCAAGCTTCGGAAGTGGAGTAGAAACTGGCCTACCATATCCCGCCATGACAAAAGCGTACCAGACCCTCTTAGACGACAAACGCGTACCACAAGGCAAAGGCACACGCACGCATGGTGAAACTTCCACAGCCAAATTCTGGACGAGGCTCGTGTATGGCGTCCCTTTGCATCTCTTTCCCTCGATGCCGGTCATTGGCACCTCGCAAATCACACGCAGTCCGAGACCATGCCGCTCCGTTTTAAGCTGACCCTACTTTTGTGGGTTCCAAATTCCTTTGTGACATCAGCCTAGGGAAGAATTCTAGAGATTCTGAATCACAGGCTCTTGAAATGTTGTGCGTGTGTGCCGGTGTGAAAATTGCTCTTCGTGGCTCCGTAATTGAGCAAAGGGCAGCTCCTTGGATACGGACCGGACCCATCTAATTCATGGATGGTCACGTGTGTTCAGTCCATGTCCAAGTTTCCAATGAGGGTCATGTTCCCCTGAAGCATCCTGGGATGCCCAAATCCCCGAAGACGAACCCGAACACATTGCGTGCCGAGGTCGATGCCCTCCAAATTGAGGTCGCTTAGGTTCATGCGGAAACTGGGCAGGCTTCCAAGCTACTCACGGGAACACTGTCAGTAAGGGGACCTTTGTGAAGATGGGTCATGGTTCCTCAAAAGGAATGATGGCTGTTCCAGTCTACTCAGGGTCCATGACCATCCCTACAACCGCAAGTACATTCAGGTACAACGGCGGTTTGAGCAAGGTTCACAAGGGAAGTCTACAGAACTTCTGTTGCCTCTCGCACATCCTCATCCACCCAGTCGGTCCTCATCGACGATGGCACTGGCCGACTCCTCAACCTCCAGCTCAGTACCTCCAATGCTGGGCGCTGAAGCCGCTGCCAGACCGACTAACTAACCAACCAAGCAGCCATCAACCAAACGGGCCAACCTACAATCCTACCAAACCAAACCAACCAAAGCAAGGGGAAAAAACAAGCAAGCAGGCAAGCAGGAGGCAGGCAAGCAGGAGGCAGGCACCCAACCAACCAACCAGCCAGCCAGCCAGCCAGCCAGCCAGCCAGCCAGCAAACCAGCCTTGAAGCAAACCAGGCATGAACCAAACCAACAGAGAAACAAACAAACAAGCAAGCACGCACCCAAGCAAGCAAGCGGGCAAGCACACAAGCAGGCAGGCAGGCAAGCCAGCAAACACGCAAAATAACAAACAAACAAACACTTCCTCGATAAAGCAAAACTGGGACCAGCCAGCAAGCCAGCCAGCCATCAAGCAAGCCAGCCATCAACCAAACCAACCCAAACAACGTTATGAAACCAAAGAATGATCTTTCCGGGGCACAAGGCAGCATCTTGCGCGTGCGAACGGCGACTGCCCGTGCGAACGGCGAGGACAAGTTCAACTCTCCGTGCCAACTGAAGGTACCCCTGAATCTTACAACCCAAGGCAATATATTGTACAAGTGGTATCCTCCAGCACCTCCATCTGGAGGGAGGAAAACAACTTGAGGGTTTGATTTGCAGAAACTTGGTAGGGCGCCCTCAGGACACCAGCTTCAGCTTCTCACTCAATGGTGGCTTGCCTTGATGGTTTGGAAGTTCGGGGAAGGCTTCCCATTTACCCTCTGCAAGTACCAGAAATTCAAATCCCCAAACCACCAAATTACCACCAACTAAATAACACCAGGATCTCCACAATATGGGACCATCCCGAGACACATGTGCTAGGAGGTTGCGCCTCTTGAGATGACTTTCGAAAGGGTTGAGCCACCGCAGATTTCATAAATCATGTCTGTAGTCCCTCTTCCTTTTGCGGGTTCCGTCCCCCATGTTGCCCTGCTGAATGAATCATGGGGTATCAATAATATGTACTGTCTGGTTCTTGTGCGGAAATGCCGCTTCACAGGAACCAACCGTCAGAAACACCTCGGGACCTGCCAAGAGTGGCTGGTCCTGAACACTAGAACCTCCAGCATGACTTGGTTCAGCGAGGGGGCAAGACTCGTAGAGGTGGCAATGGCCGCTGGATGGATAAAAGGCCGCCGCCTTGCCTGCGGTTCGCGGCTTCTCGAAGCAAAGCTAAGGAATTGGGGGACCTGCCAGTTTGAAATCTTGCAAACTCCCTAACCTTTGTCTAGGCCGCCTTACCTTCAAAGTGACAATGCAAATGGGTGTTGGCTTGGTGCATGGTCAAGGCCCGCAAACATCGCACACCAGGAGACAGCTTTGCATTCGGATATGTGTTTCAGCCAGGATCTTATCTTTCCAACTTTTGGTTGCTTCAGGAAGTTGTAAGTACACCAAGGGTCCCTAAGGCGGAACATACTCTGGAATTCACAGAGGGAACCCTCCCAACACATTGTGCAGGGGGATCCGATCTAGGCCCATCCAGGTCTCCTATTTCATCAGGTTACGTTCCCAGAGGCAACCTCCAAACCCCTCATGTCGTATGCCACATGCATGCGTGTGCAGCTTGCTTACTACATGTTTGGTTCTCAAGATAGGAAATCACCTTGTTGGATGATGGTCAAGGGAAACCAAATCATTTGGAGCTGGTTGACAAACACCACAACAAACACACAAGTATACATAGAGAGAGGTGTGGAGATTGAACTGAGGACCCTCACAAACATGACCTTCCTTATGTGTGAGGTCGCAGCCCCCATTTGTGGCGTCACTCACATGCGCAAATGTACAACTCAAAATACGGCCGCCAAGAAGCATGCTTTAGTAGGGCATTTTGCCGCAGTCTCGCTGTCCTCGCACTTTGCCACGCACCTCGCAGCACGCTGCTTGGAGACGACGTGTCATGAAACAAAAGTGGGGCTGCCAATTCTTCTGCGTCTCATGCCTTTTTTGTTTAACACAACTTGTCGAAGATCTTGTGCAAAGCCTATAGTATTACATCATTGGAATGTGGGTGTGAGAGCATTTTTACCCATTGACCAGATGTTGCTCCATGCCTTGCAGGTTGGTGCTGGTATCTATGACCATCGCATGGACCCTCCGAAGGAAGGGGTTCTTCCAAAAAGGGATCTCCCAACAATGGCGCGTTGTTGGAGATCTATCTCACTTTGGGTGTATGAGTGACTTGCAATCATCTCTCGAACCCCTCCACCGCAAAGAATGCACAGGCAACCAGCTATAGACCCACCAAAGTGGGACTAACCCTGCGTCTTGAACATGTCAATGTGAGAACTGCTGTTAACACTGCTGCGTGGTGTCGTTCTTCGATGCACGTCAGGATCTGATTGCCAAAACTCGTTTCGCCCACCGGCTATGGTAGGGACCTTCATGGGGACAATTGCTGACAACCCGCCCCCGTTTACAGTGTTCCAGACTGGGTGTCCTTGAAGTCACTTATAAGTCTGGGAAAAGAACAGCATCCGTCCCCTTGTCAACTTGTGGCTTCCCTTTAAGGCGTCAACTACAGTGTCTCACAATTGTGGAGCCCCAAAATTGCCGGGCCCCGCCTTTTGAGCCAATCCCAAAAGGGTACCCTCGCAAAAGAAACGCCCATAACTGCTGTGATGGTTCAAACGTTCGTGACCGTACGAGTACCATCTTTGAAGTGGCGTCTTTGGACCATAGCACACATGTCCCAACCCCAAAAGAGCAAAGGGAACGAGTACCCTCACAAAAAAAGACAGACCCATGAGAGCCATACCCAAAACTGCCTAACCACCCCACAAGGCAAAGGGTATGAATTGTGAATATCCTCACACAAAAAAATGGCAGACCCAATACTGTGGATGGACGAAATCGTGCACCACCTAAGAGCAACCATGAGACACCATTGTTTGTTGGTATTTACAGGGGAGTCAACATTCCAGGGTTTCTTCGGTGGTGCAGGATTGCGTCCACAGTATGACCTATTCATCCCGGGTTGACTAAGGTCCCCGCTGCTGCTCCGTAAGCTGGGACCAACCATCGCAGCCCTTGCCCGTGTCATACCTGAGATTTGGGAAGTGAAGCTCCGCAGCCCCCGGACTCCCAAAGTGAAACCGCACAACAGAAGCTTGGTTCACCTTGCTGGTGCGATAGGGAATGACCGCTCCGGGTGTTGGGAATGAACCGGAAGGGGATTTCCTTGAAGTCTTAAAGGAAGCCACAAGGGATTGTTTATGGGGTCATTCCCTCATTCCCTGCTGGGCGCCAGCCAGTCATTTGGGTCTTGCATCTGCAAAGAGGCTTTGCTCACATGGGAATTTGCCCAAACGAGTCATGGAGCCTCTGAACAGTCCGTGTCCCCAGAACACACATTCGTCGGCACTTTGAAAAAACCCGCGGGTTCTATCCAGCCAGCCCCATATGGCAAAGGAGGGCAAGGTGAAACTTATCAAAGCGCAGAAACCTCGCGCAGGTCCGGTCGAATCACGACCACGCCAGCAAGCGCCGGCGTGTGATTGAGGACAGTTTGAATCCAAGGATACTTACATTTCAGACATTGAACCACTGCAAAGGGACAGCATGGAAAGCGGCTGGCTCTTGAAGAGATCGACGGAAACAAAAAATGGCGGATCAAATTGCATAACGCAGTTGGCGGGCAACGGCGTCCGTGCCTCAGCTAGTCAAACATAATCCAGGAAGCTACAAATGCACATGCACAGAAAGCAGCGCATCGTGCAAAGTGCTTCAATACATGAGCTCACCAGATAGCCGCTATTTGCGAATGCGCTAATACATGGGCAATGCCTCATGTCACACTACCGTCCGCAGATTGACCTGTTGAGTAAGTTTGAGTGGAATAAAAAGCGAAAGTCCAGGAATGTGACGCCAAAGGCAAAGGCCCCAGTTGTCCGCGCATCACCCCTCCGCAAAGTTGGTGGCAGGCTGGTGGCCTTCAGGATCTGCCACTGACCGAACGAGAAAGAAGCACACCCAAACGTGTGGGCTGGGGTCCAAGTCACGTGAAAGGAGTGCCTTTGCAGCGCTTGCCCTTCAGCACGGTCTTGGGGATCTGAGCGAGCACGGTTGGCAGAAACGTGGCTGCAACAACAAGTCTGCTGCAAAACACCTGGACCACATGGAGAGTTGTCAAAATAAGCCAAACTAGTTGTATATTTGTCTGCAAGTACTTGAATCAAAAGTTCGAAATCTGAATCGGCAAGAATCTACGTGAGGCTGACTTGGGAATTGAATCAACGACAAGACATCTGCAGGTATCACGGCTGACTGAAAGGAATTGGCCCTTTACTATCGCAGAGTTCCCTGGTTGAGAACATAACCTTCCACATCCCGCACATGGCCGTTGATCTAAATTCCTTGTTCCTGGAACGGCCATTCTTCGCGAAAAAAAATTTCTCTTTCGCGAAACTTTCGCGACCCTCATCGCGCAGCTACCCTTACGAGAACCACCCCTTTCACAAGTAGAAACTGGAACTGCGAAAGCCGAAGAATGTCCAGGACTACGAACACGATGTTATTGGTGGCGCCGATAATCATACCCATGCCCTGCCGGCAGGTTTGTTGTATAGAACATCGTAAGGCAACCGCCCCCCTTAAGTTTGCCCCAGCTCGTATTGCTCGTATGCGAACAATGGGTGCGCTGGGGTCATGTGTTGTGTGCCATATGGAGTTCCCTATAAAACTGCAAGTGGACGCAACCCTGTGGTGGTTCATGAGCAGAAGCGCAACAGCAAGTCGCAGCCAAATTTTAGCTGCGTTGGCTTGGTTGCCGTTAGTCTGAAGCACTGTCTGTGCTGCTCCCGGAAGTGGAAGTGCTAGCCCACTGTCTTGGCAGGAGCAGCCCCGTTGGCCAGCCATGTGCGGAAGCGGGCTGAGAGGTCCATGAACTTTCGCGAAACTTTCGCGGATCTTGCGCCAAACATTGGTGGAAATGTGGCTGACAAGTTGGATTCATCCGCGGGCCCAAAGGGGCCCTCAACACTTTAGCAACGTTACACGGGGCACTGTCCCATATGTGCGGCGGTCAAAACATGTGTTGTGGTTGGCTGTCATGGCTGGCTGGGGTGTCGCTCTTCAAGGCCCCCTGTCGCTGCACACAGGCCCCCTGTCAGCAAGTCCGCTCGCATGAAAACCACATACCCAATCCCATATGTCCGAGGTCCTATAAGACCAGTGATTCACGTAATGCACGAAAAACTTTCGCGGAAAAAAAATTTACTTTCGCGAAGTCCATCGCGGAGCTTTCGCGGGGGATCATGGATGGTACCAAATGGTCGTCCCCTTCATAGTGTAAAGCAAGGACCTTTAGATCAACTCTCACATAAGAATGCTGCACGGAGCAGCACGACTCGTCGCCAAAATGGTTCTGTCCGAACATGGGGGAAGCCACCTCTCTGAATCAAAGGAAACTACAACGAATCCAACCAGTTTTCTAGGTCCCCGGTTTGGGGGTGCACCCACCAAACCTTCAGCAGAAGCAACTCCAAGATCTCATACGCTACCTGTTGGTTTCTTTCTCAGGGGATCCTCTATTTTGGGAAGCATACCAAAGACTGATGGGTTTCTCTAATGACCCATGTCTTCATATCCTTGATGTACCCTTTAGGGTTGCTCAAAATTCGGGTTCCCGGATCCCCAATCCTCAAGTGTAGTGCGGCACCACAACGGAAACAAATGAATCCAGCTGGCAAAAGGATTGATTGATTTTGCACAACATTGACCAGGGGTTACTGGAAGACCATGTTCCTTATAAGGGGGCCCCTGTGCTGGTTCCATGTTTGTTTCTGGGGTCAGCGTGAATTCGAGTCTCTATCCCTCCATTTCGCGGCCTCACACAGTGTGGCCTTGCGCGCCACCATGTTCGCCTGCTCCTTGTGGGTGTTGCACCCTTCCGCACCGCCTGTCAATTCGCCATGAGGCTCATGGGACATTTCTACCAGGCAAGCTCCAGGGAGGTTCGCTTCCAGGATTCCTGCTGGTTTCTCCGAAGACGTCACAAATGAACGCATCTTGGGCCCAAGCCTATCCTACCCGCTGGTTTGACGCTCTGGATCAACAGGTGCATCCATGTCTCGCAGAAATCACTAGAAAATATTGCCAGGAGTTGCGGTCTATGAGCGACCAGGCACGGTGCCTCAAAAGCCCTACGCGTTTAGGGAGTTTATTAAAGTGACAGTGACATGCTCAAAGTTACCCTCCCAGCTTCAGATTAAAGGGAGACAACCCCCCAACAGAGAAACATTGTGTGCTCCGGTCAACCGGAACCCTGAGAGTTCCTCTTGCCTCTGTGCCAGCAACTCCCAGCTTGATGCCATTCATAGCACAAACTGCTGGGCGTGTGGAAGTCGTAGAGGTAATGAGCCCCGCAATGGTTCATCCTGAGTCAAGCATGGAGACCAGGGATTTCTCTGCTAACTAAGATGAGCCCCCCTTACCGCAGCAAAAATGGGGTCTCCCAAAAGGAGATCCCACGAAACATGAATTGGCTCCATGCCAATCTGTACACTATTCGAAGTTGAGGTAAGCAGCAAACATCAGTAAACTCCAGAGTGAAGCGGGTCGCAGGATTCGCGGGTACGCAAGAACAAGAACCCCACAAGGCAGCCGCCGGTCAACTCACCCAGAAAAAAAGAAAAACACATTGCGGGGTGCAAATGCCCTGGCATGATCTTGTTGAACAAATCTCTGCTTCCACAAGGGTCATAGCACAAAGCACACGCTTGGCCGTGCTTCAAAAAAACTTGGGCTTCTTGTTCCAATTGAAGCGGAAACTGGCATGAAACTCACACCGTTTGCAGTGTCCCGAGTTTGTAAACCCTAAACCCTAATGGGGGAACACCCCAAAACGACTGCCTTCCCTTTGCCCCTCCCTTCCAAACAACCCAAAATGAGCACACCCTTGCACAAAAGACACGCCTAACAAGGAGTTCCTCTGTGAACTTCCTCTACTACGCGTGTGAACTCGTCAAAATTTGGGTATCCCTTTAAAATGAACTCGTCAAAATCGGAGTAACCCTGAAAATGGAGCTTACCGGCCTGGTTTCCTTTGGTTTCCCTTTCTCGCCCCCAAAACGGGCTCCTCCCCACTCCCCGGCCCCCCCGCATCCGCTGGCTGGGGCCGCCGGCATCTTGTTGGCGATGGAGCGGCGCACGTAGTAGGTGTCCTCCGCCTTGCATCCCTTGGCCGTGGGGGAATAGTCGGCATCGTTCACCACCAACTCCGCGCCTAGGCAGCGGCATCTATAGTTCGTCTTGTTTTCTGAGTTTTTCTCAAAGGGTTCTGAACGGTCTCGCACTTTGGCGGGGTCGGCCTTCCAAAACTCGTTGCTGTTTGTTTGCCAACCATCAAATGGACAACGCTCTGCGGACTTTCGCGCGGTCGACCTCCAAACATCAGCGTAGTTGGCTTAAATTCCTGCTATGCTTAGCTTACAGTACGTACTAGCTAGCTAACTCTGGATGCATAACCAAATAACTAGCCAACTTGCTGGCTAAGCAAGCCAGCTAGCTAGCCAACTCTCGAACCAGCTAACTACTCAACAAGCCAACTAGCTGACTAGCTAAAAAAGGAACGAACTAGCCAACTTGGCATGCACTGGCACAGGGAGCACGTGCCAAAAGTCTTATAGCTGTTGAACCTTCCGCGCCCCGGCTCTGCCGGACTACAAACTGGCAGTCGGACAGGTGATGCTTAGCATGAAGCAGAAGGTGCAGAACATGTGGGAGGGAAGAATCTGTACGCCAGCGATTCCCAAGTAGATCAAGGCATGGCCGGTTTACCCGCGTCTCTCTGGGTCACCTTTCCTAGACCCATCCGTTGAGGGCTGCAAGAGAACGTTCCCCTTTCGTCGCCCCTTTTTCAGTTTGGTGCCGGCCCTTCCAAGTAAACATGGCCCGAAAAGGAGGTCCATAGTCGCTGTTCTGCCAAACCACTCCTGCCAAGCCCTACAATAGAATGTGGTCAAAGCCACTCCGCCTTCATCTAGAGGCATGAAAGCTGACAGGATTTGGTTTTCCCAAAGGGGGAAGCCCGCATTTGCTTTTGTGGCTTTGCTGGGCCCCAGCGATGCCTGGAACAACACATTGCGTGGAAGAGAGCTCCCAGCCCTCGGTTGCCCTGGTGGCCATGTAACAAAACATCCCCGTTTTCAAGTTGCTGATTGTGAGGTTCAAGAGGAAACCCGACGAACACGAGGGTTCGGAAGACTTCACTGACTGGAAAAAGGGCTTCGAGAAAATCATCTTGTGGAATCGCTCGCTTTTGCAGACAAGTGGGGGAGCCTGGACCAAAATTGAGTTGAATAAGATGCGGTCCATTGCAGACCCTTCACGGACACCTAGATGCAGATGGTTGAAAAGTGGAACACATGAGCCACGGAGAAAAATGTCTTCTTTCCCCTCCCGGAAGCACATGGGAAAAGTGGGTGCCAGTGGGTGCCCTTTCAAAGTCCTCCCCGAACTAAGCATCGACCACCAGTAGAACAACGTGTTTCACGACCTGCCGAGGCGCAGTAAGATTTCGTCACCTTCTCGGTAAGGCTGGCTTGCGGCGGGACGCAGTCCACCTGCCGCTTGCGCTAGGGCACCAAAGGAGGATGCCAAGCAATCCATGCAATACTCACATATACCCTCAAGGGGGTCAAATGTGGGCACCTACACATGGATTGGGATGTGTAGCATACGCAAGGAAGGCACTAAAGTTGGAACCCATTCAACGGGCCCGCTGAGACAGGCAGGCAAATCACTTCCAGTGACTTGGATTTAAACATGTCTAAACCACTAGACTATTATTCAAACAGCCTCCAGATTGCTGCAAGCAATTTGCTTCCCGTAGGGGACAAGTGCCGATTGTTGGGAACCGCATAGTTTGCCTGCACACATTCGTTTTTGTTGTGGTCTTCTTAGGCGCCCTGTGCTCCTTGGCTGACACTGGTTGATGTGGGACTTCTTCCGTTCCAGTTCCTACGTGGATTGGCGAAACATGTCCAAACTTGTTCTTTGCCAGTAAAACTTTGAAAACACAAGAAACATAACAAACAACTAAAGTCCAGGAAGTTTGGAAAGTGACTTGCAAGGTTGGCGCCCAGTGAGACTAATTCAGAAGTCTTTTGGAAGAGCTACATGCCATCGGCAGGTAGGTGCTTGAAAACCTGCTGTTCATTTACCCCACAAGAGCGGGCCTGTTCCGGAAAGCGCACAAGCCGATCTCACCAGTCTTTTTGCAGGAAGGTGATTTGGCATTGTTTGTCAGGCGTCGCCGGCCGAACATGACCCCAAGGGTGAAGCCAATTTCCAATAGCTTGCCAGTCTTAACATAAGGAATCAAATACAGGAACCTGTTCTTTTAGTTGTGGTCGTTTAGCCTCCCGAAGTCGCCAACAAATAAGCAAGCAGATTGCACCAGTTGTCTCCCTTTCACAACCCCGAAGCTGTCTATGGTCTTGGTCTACAATATGACTCCTTCCGGATGAGGAAAGAGAAGAGCAAAGAAGCTCACGCCAAGCACAGAGACGGTCCATATTTTCAACCATTGCGTGTGCCCTAAAAGTGGGGACCCCCCATCTTTGGAAGGTGTTTTGAGGTGAACGACAAGGAATGCAAAAATAGTTGCTTGGAGAGTCCTTTCTCCATCTTAGGCCTGACAGCCAGATGGCTTTAGTTGCTCACCTCACGGCGGGTGGCAACTGCAACCGTCAACCGGTTCTTTCTACTTAGTTGGGTACCGCACTACTATTCATATTATGTAGCCAGGCAGTAGAACGCGCTGCTAAACCCACCTAAATTGGCCAACGTGGGTCTTTGGCACGGCTCACTAGGGTTACCCCAAAATACATCCCAACGTCACAACACAAAGGGATCAAACGACAAGAACTCTTAACCAGCTGGCAAATGCCATCAAGGTGAGCAATACGTACACAACGTGCCCGTTTAAACAAACCAAAATGTTAGAAGCCTCTGACGGCGTGCCGTTGCCTGCCTTGCACATCTTGTTTTTGCGGTTCACTGCTGTAGTCTTCTCGTGGTGGCTCAGGCAGTTTGAGCCTGCGGAATCGGACGGAATCGCGACATCGGAGGGCGGAATCGAGCCAAAGGACCCTGGCAAGAAAACCCCACATGGGTGTACTCCTTTTGGTCAGTTTTAGAGGGAATCAAAAAGGACAATTCCGAAGGTGGGGATTTTTGAGACTCCTCTCCTTCAGGTGATGCTCGAAGCCAAAAGCTCTGGACACGGGGGCCCTGTTGGGTCGCTTTCAAGAACAACCAAAGAGACAGCAACCCAATTCGCTTGGCAGCAAAACTTAAGGGAAGAAATCCAAGCGGCGTTCAAGAACAACCAAAGAGAAAACAGCCTAAGTCGCTTTGCAGAAACAGCCAAAGGGGAAACAACCCAAGTGGGAAAACAGCGAGATACGAAGGAATACAACCTAATGGCTTTCAACAACAAACAAACGGAAAGCAACCCAAGTCGCCTTCGGGAAAGATAACTCAAGTGGCTTTGAAGAGCAACCAAAGGGAGAACAACCCAAGTCGCTTTGGAGAAAAGCCAAAGGGAAAACAACCCAAGTGGCTTGCGGGAGCGACCGAAGGGAGAGCAGCGCAGTCGCTTTGGAGACACTTGCAAAGGGAAGACAACCCAATTTTTCAAAGAACAACCGAAGGAGATCAACCCAAGTCGCCTGGAGCAAACAAAAAGGGAAGTCACCCCAAGTGGCTTTCAAGGACAACCGAGCAAAAGCAACCCAGGTCGGTTTGGACAAAAGTCAAACGAATACAACCTAAGTGGCTTTCAAAAGCAACCAAACGGAAAGCAACCCGAGTCGACTTGGAGAAAAGCCAAAGAGAAAACAACCCCAGTGGTTTTCAAAAACAACCAAAGGGAAAGCAACCCAAGTCGCTTTAAGGACAAGGCAAAGGGAAGACAACCCAAGTGGCTTTCAAGAACGACCGAAGGGAAATCAACCCAAGTTGCTTGGAGCAAAGGAAAAGGGAAGAACCCAAGTGGCTTTCAAGAACGACCGACGCAAAAGCGACACAAGTCCGTTTGCAGAAAAGTCAACGGGAAGACAACCCAAGTGTCTCTCGATACCAAGCAAACGGACAGAAACCCAAATCGCTTTGAAGAGAAGCCAAACCAAAAACAACCCAACTCGCTTTCAGGAACAACCAACGGAAAATAAACCCAAGTTGCTTTTGAGAAGAAAAAAAAAGGAAGACGACCCAAGTGGCTTTCAAGCGTCCACCCAAGTTGCTTGGATCAAACCAAAGGGCAGACAACTCAAGTGGCTTTCAAAAACAACCAAAGCGAAAGCAGCCCGTGGCGTGTTGGAAAAAAGCCAAAGGACAAACAACCCAAGTGGCTTTCAATCGCAACCAAAGGGAAAGCAGCCTGGGTGGCTTGGGAGAAAAGCCACAGTGAAGACAATCCAAGTGGCTTTCAAAAACGACTGAAGGGAAATCGCTTTGAAGAGAAGCCAAACCAAAAACAACCCAACTCGCTTTCAGGAACAACCAACGGAAAATAAACCCAAGTTGCTTTTGAGAAGAAAAAAAAAGGAAGACGACCCAAGTGGCTTTCAAGCGTAACCAAAGGGAACCCACCCAAGTTGCTTGGATCAAACCAAAGGGCAGACAACTCAAGTGGCTTTCAAAAACAACCAAAGCGAAAGCAGCCCGTGGCGTGTTGGAAAAAAGCCAAAGGGCAAACAACCCAAGTGGCTTTCAATCGCAACCAAAGGGAAAGCAGCCCGGGTGGCTTTGGAGAAAAGCCACAGTGAAGACAATCCAAGTGGCTTTCAATAAAAACCAAACAACCCTCGTGCCGTTCCAGGACAACCGAAGCGAAATTGAGGACGCGCTCTACTTCCGAGGAAAAAACAAAAATGCCGCGCCTGTTTGCGCAAAAAAGGTGCCTGATTGCGGAACAAAAAGGCGCCGAATTGCGGGGAAAAAACAATTGTGAAATGCACTTTGTAGAAGGCCTTGTAGACTCCCGACGCCTTGTAAGACTCCATGTAAGGCCTTGTAAACTCTTTATAAGGCTTTGCAAGACGCCCTGTAAGGGCCTTGTAGATTTCCCTGTAATGTAAGACCCCATGGAAGGCCTTGTAAACGGAGTCCCTTGCAAGGCTTACAACATCTTCCAAGGAGCCTTACAAGGTTTTTGGAGCCTACGGCACAAGAAGTCTTGCAAGGCCTCACAAGGAGCCTTACAAGGCGTAAGGGGAGGGCGCGCTCGAATGGCGAACAACAAGGCGCGCCGAATTGCGGACAAAAAGGTGCCAAAGGGAAGATAACCCAAGTGGCTTTCAAGAACAACTAGAGGAAAAGCAACCCAAGTCGCTTTGGAGAACAGACAAAGGGAAAACAGCCAAGTCACTTTAGAGAAAACCCCAAGAGAAGGCAAGCCGAGTGGCTTCTAAGAAAGACCCAAGGGACAACATCGAGAAAACAAGGATTTCAACCCAAGTGGCTTTCACAAAGAAACAAAGGGAACGAAACCCAAGTCGCCTTAAGGGAAGACAACTCAAGAATAACCAGAGTGAAATCAACCCAAGTCGCTTTAGGGAAATCGCAAAGAGAAGACAGCCCAGGTAGCCTTCAAGAGCAAAGGGAAAGCAGCTCACGTCGCTTTGGAGAAAATGCGACTAGGGAAGCCCGCACAAATTGGCTTTCAAGAACAACGGAAAAGCAACCATCGCTAAGACCAAACAAAGAGAACATACTGCAAGTGGTGGGAGCTCAAGGCCTTCAAGCCAGCCGGCCTCGTGCCCAGCATGAGCTCCCGGCGCTCCACTCGAAACAATTCTCCGCAGGTGCGCGGAAGTCGTAGAGATGGTGCGCACCGCAGTGGCTGAACCTCAAAGAAACAGGGAGCCCAGGTAGATGTTCAGTTTCCATTGGGTTCCTGCATTTTCAATCTTAGTAAGAAACAGGGAGTCAAGCTTTTCAGGGGATCAGGTGCTCATTTCAGAAACCCGACAAGGGAGTCGTCAAAAAAGAGTCCATAAGTTTGCTTTCCAGGCAGTCGGACGGCAGAAAAGCAGAATGCGGCGAGTCATCCACAGCTCCCGTTTCTTCAGGGAGTCGAGCTGTCATTCGAAACCAGTCGAAAGGGAGTCTAGACAAAACCAAGGATCACAAAGTCGGCTGGCTCTGTTTGTGGCTTGGCATGCCGTTTTCAGTGCACTCCACTTGCTCAACACTGTGCCCAGCTGGGGGTAACGGAACGGTCGCCCCAGGTGCATTTCTAAGGATCACATCGGATCCCAACAAGCAGGAATGGGACATATGTCCAGGGCCTGTCTTGCTTTAAGAAACTCACCCCTGCAGACACATGCCAATGGTTTGTATTTTAGTATTGTGCAGCCATCTCCTTCCAGGACCAAGCAACAACTGCGTTTCTCGCACCTTCACCCCCTCCATGGATGTTTTTGGAAAAGGACTTGGGACTTGTGTCTTTTGGACATGACGTGGGCAGGGTTGTTGCTGCAGAGTAGGTTTCAAATGTCCAAAGCACCAACCGCCACGTCCAGTCACCTCGCTCACGACTCCTTTCAAAAGCACAGGCCCAAGTTGTGCCCAGCAAATTCAAGTTGCCCCTCACTCTCGAAGGAGTCTCGAATCAACACAATCACTACACAAGTACTATTGTGGATGGACGAAATCCTGCGCCACCTAAGAAACCCTGGAATGATTCCCCTGTAAATACCAGCAACCAATGGCGTCTCATGGTTGCTTGGGTGGTGCGAAATGGATTTCCTCCATCCGCAGTATCTCCGGCCGCAACTTTCCGAGCTTTTGCAAGGAAAAGAAGCGCTCCATGAAATTCTGGGCCTCCAGGCATGTGATTGGCCAAGGACTGACGCACGTAAGGCGTGTCCACATCATGGCACCCCTTGGCCGACGGCCCATAGACCGCGCCGTTCTGCGTCATTTCCCCGCCTCAAGGACCAAGCTTCGGCTGCGCATGCTTGAAAAAAGCGGGGGTCCGTTGACCAGAGCTTCTAGAAGAATGGCTCAGCATTTCCCTTTCTTCGAAGGTTGATGACCTTTCCTCAGACCCAGTCATGCAGCTGGTTACTCATTGCATTGCCCGAACGGCTCAGAGTCCTGAGAATGTCATGACTGGCGCCAGAGCGGCAGGCAAGGGATTCGCTCGGCTGATGATTTCCCCAACCCGCCACCATGGAGCTATTTTCACTGACCATACTGGGGGCAAATGGACAAGGGAGCCCCTGCTGTGTAGAGGGAACACTTGAAGTCCGTATCCTTGGCCGCAGGTATTCTGGTGGTTGTACATGGCCCACGTGTATCCCGCATTTCTTGGGCGTTCCTGTCCGATGCCAACGGGGCATCCCACTGAACTGGGTGTCGGGGGTGTGGGAGAAATGAGGACTACCCGTCCTCTTCTGGTTCCGCTTTGGGGATGGATACAACATCGGTATAGGTTATTCAGCGACCAAAGCAGCGTTCACCCCAACGGAGCCAAGACGCAGTAGGTTTTCATCAAGTCCTCCGTCAGCTGCACTTGTACCGCATCGCAGCCTCCCAGTCAGGTCATTTTCTGAAAATCGAAACGCTCATATAGAACCGTGTGCTAGTGCCTGGGCTTTCTGGATACTCCAAGCTGCCCTTTTGTCAAGTAGCCTGCAAATCGACCAACACATGCGGCAAATGGGACCGAATGGCTGTTGAGGGCCCAAGCTCGCTGAATTACTCGCCTGCATCCGATTGCACGGAGCCTTTTGAGGGACCTGGAATGTCCCTGTGAGGGTGTCGCTAAGAGAGTCGAACCCTCCCGAGCATCTAGGCGGATCCCGCGAAGAGCTGGAAGATCCGCCGCATCCAAGTGTTCTTTGGGGCTTTAAAGCCAAGCATTCCTTCGGACTGAAAGCTAACATCACATGTGACCTGGAGTTGTTCTAATCTCCCAAGGCTCGAGCAAATCAAGCCGCAGCGGGTTCAAGGGGTTGGCGACAAAGGAAGCAACCCGAAGGCAGCACAACCCTCACATCACGAGCAAGCATCATATTCTGTACCTCAGGTAGCCTTTCGTCAACACCCAAAAGTTTGCCCCTTGCGCGTTCGCCCATGCGTTTCTAGATCGCCTTCCCTCGGGAGGCTTTGTGAGCACGCAAAGCCAAGTGCTCTAGGGAACACAAATAAAATAATAATACCAATAATACTCATAATAATAATAATAATATGTTTAAACACAAAAATAACAAACAACAAAAAACGACAGAACCAACCGCCGCCCATAGACATCGCCTCTCCCCCCGGAGAAGCAACAAACAAATCGGTTCGTGCCGTCCACTTTGGGCTTCCTTGTCCACTTGCGACAACCACCGCCAGGTCTCGTGCCATGCCCCGTGGCGCCTGCGGTCTCGTTCTGGTAAACGCGCACCTTGGCTCCCTGCACCGCCGCAACCAGGGCCACTGCCTGAAGAACAGTATGAATGGTCTACAGAGGGATCGGCCATGGGTCAAAATCCAAATCGTACCCCCAGTGAACATCCCAATCCCAACTAAAATAGACTAAAATGGGTGGTGCACCTACCCCAAATTGGCACCATCGTTGGTTTTGACCCCAGCCATATCGACAACCTATGTGCAGACAAACTCATTCTTCACTCACCCTCTGCCATTCTAGCGACTCAGTGCCTTTGTGGGAAGACGCCTTCTGCTGTCCATGAGCCCTTCGAAGAAAGTACTCTCAAACAAGTACAAGCGCATAGAAATGCCTTGATATACAAGGACATTGCGATAGCATCCAGGGAGACCCCTCATGGGCGTTCCTTTCAGGCTTCCTGCAGACCCGGCTAGCTTGCATTGGGTTCTTGATATAATCCACCCCGGCGTTGCCTAACCAACAATTCACATGTTTACAATTGTTTACATTGTTGTCCATATTTAGAGAACATTGACACATAACTTAATACCAACCAAGATCCCAGCAGAACCGAAATGAGTTAAAGAGTAAGTCTTATGTGTAAGTTGAATGAGCGAGAATCAGAGTGGTTGAAAGTCACTCAGTAAGTTGAGTGAGTGACAGTAAGTACGCGTATGTGGAGTGAGTGAGAGTGAGTGAGAGTAGAAGGAGAGGAGGCGAAGGAGGAAGAGAAGGAAGAGGAGCAGAAAAGGAGAAGAGGAGAGAGCGGCGCGGACGACATACTTAAGCAATGTCCAAGCGGAATCGGAAGCACCAAGCCAGCAGCAGCCAAAGCCAGGCCTTGCAGAGCGTTTGCTTCATTTCAGCCGGAATCCTCGGCACATGCTGAACGCCCGCAGTCCGAAAACACCGCAGGACTCGTCGGCAAACACGAAGACCTTCTTGCTCCCTACATGTCGCCAGGCTGGTAGATCAACCATGAGTTCATGGAGAAGAACAGGGAATCTTGAAACAAACCAGGCATGAACTTTGCCAAGCCACCTCTGTTAGGGCTTCTCCGAGATACCGTTTGGTTCCAAAAGGACACACCAAGGGAAACCTTTTCTTCCCCACCCAGGTCTGGTAAATCTCAGAAACCACGAAACCCGGAAATCGATTTGGACAACCCGGGGACGGATCAGTGCAAGCAGGACGCACAAGGTTCACCCGGTCCAATGCGATGCAAAAGCCGGGCGCTGGAAGCCAAAAGCAGCGGTTGAAGCGCAAGGCCAAGAAAAACAGGGCCCGACAAAGCGCAGCACTCAGCATTGCCCCTCCAAAGGGGTTTTGTTTTACAAGGTTTCAAGTACTGGCTTTCCATCAAACATGGAAGTGGACGGGCCTTTTCACATGACGGAAGTCTGGCAATCCCCCTCCCCCCCCCCTGTCCCGGTGCATTCCACGACCGTAGAATGTTACAATCCTGGCCTCCCCGCCAAGAGAACCTCATTTTTTGTTCGACCCCCAACCAAGACAGAGGAGTCATAAGTTAAAGAGTCTTAACGAACCGCTTGGAGGGTTGGACTTACCTTCCCCGATGCTCCCCCGCACATTTGGCCCTTGGCCGCTGTATCCAGCGTGCTCGCCCGCTGCCCATCCTACGCTGGCCAATTTTTTGGGCACGCCGATCTGGTGACAAGCGCCATGCATTCAGATCAGCAGGCCTGGCGTAGATGTGCCGTCGTCAAAAACGAAGGGCTGACCCCTCTTGCCTTCAAAACGCGTCAATCCAGCGTTTCGACTTACATGCCGCAACTGAACCACACTCGGCGCCTACTGGCCTAGGAGCAACTTGCACTTGAAGTAGGAGTCTTGAGGCAAGGAAGATGTGACACCGTGACACACACACACACATTGTATGTATGAGAAAGCCCGTTGAAATAAACAGGCCGGGTGTATGTTAGTTGTCCGCGAATCTGATATCCGGCGGCATCCATCACCGCCATTGCACATTGTACTTGACACATTGCCAACTTCTATCGCATACGAACTACCAAAAATGACACCCACCTGCCAAGCTGGCAGGGGGCCGGCAATATTGTCCGTCCGTTGCTCATGGGTGTTTGTCAAACTGAGTGCTTGGGTTGGAGGACCCTTCTGACACAATGACACATCCAAGTTCTGCCACAACTTCCCCCCTCACTAAATGGTTAGTGTCCTGTGCGCCCGTGCTATTGCCAAGGCTCCTTTTGTTGGGGAATGCCAAATCTTCTCATTTGGTTTCAGCATGAAGGCCGCGTTGGCATGAATCATGTCTGCCAGGGATAACTTTTTTCCTCCGCAACCCTGCTGCGAGTGCAAACGAGTTAGGCCCGTTTGGAACGGCCAGCTTTCAGAAGGTACCATACCTGTTAGTCAACAGCTGGGTCGGTTGGAAACATCATATTATGGGTATGGGTCAAAATTAAATTAGCAGGGGACCGCAGGTTTTAGTCCATGCTTCCATTTACCAGGGTTCCACAGCCATATGATATTTGCAACACGTAAATGCATGACACTTGATCGGAAATCGTGATCAGGCTTGCTCCAAAGACCCTGGCAACGGGGCAGGAAGTCGGTCACTCGGCAACAGGAAACCCAAGAAAACAAAAGAAAATCCAAGGAAACCACAGCAAACCCAAGGAAACCAAAGGAAACCCAAGGAAACAAAAGGAAACCCAAGGAAACCACAACAAACCCAAGGAAACCACAGGAAACCCAAGGAAACCACAGGAAACTCAAGGAAACCCTTGAGTGTTGATCAGGTTTAGAGGCTGCAGCTCTCTGCCTGGCGGAGGGAGAGCATGCAAAGGGTAGGGCTTGTGAGAAATTCGCTGGTGGTTAGAGCGCAGGTAAAATCAGTCAAGCCAGCCACCCCCCCTCCCCCCTCTGACTTGCGGGGTCGGAAATCCAGTCTGGACAGGTGGAAAGCAATTAAAGGTCTGCCCGCTTCTAAACAAAGTGAAGTAACAGGTTCTACTATGTGGGTCTGAACGAATGGCCCATCGGCTTTCAGTTGCATGGCGTTGATGTCAGGATCCCATGCCCAACGCTTTTTCGCACACGCCCCCGCGAGGGTGACACCTCGGGCACACAGAACAAGCACCGCTGAGGTACAGGGGCGAGGCACCAAACTCGGTAATTGGCTGCAGATCCGAAAGGCTTTGAGGTCACAGTGTTGGACCACCGTGGGAAGCTCAAGCTCAAGGAAAATCATTTGTAAGTGTTCAGGGTACCTGGTTGAGCTGGTCTACAAGGCACTTAAAAGGCAAACTTTTTTTGGGTGGTCCCCCCAATTCTGACACATGGCCCTTTCGGAGGGGCTTGCGACCCCCGAACATCGAAGTGGGGTGCCCACGCTGCGGGAAAGGAGCGAGTCACCCGCCGCGTTCGACCAGCGACTTCGCAAAACTGGGGGTTCCGGCACCCAACGCACCCGAGCACGCTGGCTACAATCATCTTACTCTGTCGGTCATGGGGATGGCGGCTCGATGGTGCCAGGTATGAACCACCCTTAGAATTTTGGGTGCATCTGTACAGGCTGCACAGTTCGCAAGTACGTGCTGAGGTGCCAAATAAATCCAAAAACATCCTGACTGAAGATCTCACTTCTGATCACTGCTGCCTGGGCGAGCATTCAAGTGGTGGCTGAACATCATCTGTTGCAAGAGAGCGATGTTTGCATAGAGAATGAGACGCTCGACCTTCAGGTTATCCTTGAGTTGAGATTGAAGGTATGCAAGCGTCTTGATCTCGATAAGCCGCCACTTTGCAGTTCCTCACTTGTCCAAACGAGTCGGAAACCAAAGATCTGTAGTGACAATCAAGTACAGGAAGCCCCAACAAAGAGCCGACGCCCAGTTTGTCCTTAGCAGGTCCGTCACACAGAAAACATACAAAGAGGATGTTCCCATGAACTGTTGAATAGTTTCTTTCTTCAGGTACTTTTTCGCTGAAAGGAAGCCATGACCATTTTGTGGGCTCCATGCATCAGACAAACCAAGACAAACCCTGCCGAAGCCAAAACAAGGCGATCCGAAGCTCCCCAAAAGCAGCGCCGCAGCGCTGCAAGGGCTGTGGCTGAGGACAACAGCTGGGAGACCTCGACCAAGGTCTCGCCATTCTCATTTCCGATGACGCGGAAAAACCTCGCTGTCCAAAAGGGCTTCAGATGCTGTCCATGTCAATAGTGGCAATCCATGATTTGCCCCATGCTGATGGTTCAAGGGGGGAACACACGGGAAAAAAAAAGGTGAGACAAGCACACATGGTCTTTGTATGTCTTTGTTTGGTGGTTATTTTTTTGACACACAAGGCATGGCGTAGTTTCCTGCACACTCTTTGGTTTACACGGCTTGGCCAGCTGTTTGGTGGTTAAAGGGAAGCGCTTCCAAAGACAAAAGCAACACCAAAAGGCTGCCACTCGGCAACGGGGAAGCGCTTTGGGCCAATGGAAGGAGCCGTCGTCCTGCTGCGACTGGATCAACGCGGCGTAGGCAGAGGAGGGCAGCTTGGGGCAAAACCACTTGGAGAGCTTCGGCTCCACTTCATCCTTCCATTGCTTTAGCAATCTGGAACAAACACAAACATATTACCACCTAAGAAACCCTGGAATGATGATTCCCCTGTGGATGGATGGAATACTGTGGATGGACGAAATCCGCTTCGCACCACTTTGAAACCAACGGAAACGTTCCTTGGTGTTTACAGGGGAATCATCATTCCAGGGTTGGTGCAGGATTTCGTCCACCCGGAGTATTTCCCTCTTCCATTTGCTTCAGTTTGCTAAGCCCCCTGGAAAAAAAACAATTATACAAGTATATTTCCAGAAATGATTCCCTTCAAAGCCAAAAAGGGAAATAACACATATTCTTAAGCATTTACAAGTCCTCCAGTTGGCGATCGAGTAAGAAGCTGATGCGAGTCTTGTCCTCGACATCAAGGCTCTGGTGGAAGTCGCTCAAGTTGAGAAATGCAACACTTCGACTCCCGGCACGTAAGCTGCAGTTCTCCAATACATGTAGTGAGCTCATGTTGACATCCGCATCCAGGCTGGTGAGGTTGCGCTTGGCTGACAGGAACAAGCTCGTCGGACGCTTGATGAGGCCGGTCAAATTCATTGACGAGATTGAGCACACACAGCTCGGAGCCGGCGCCTCGCAATCGATGCTTGCCACCGGCACATGAAGGTCTGCAAACTCCATGAAGACAAAGGCTACCTTCTCACGCGTCCAACACACCAAGAAAGAAACAAGCGTCACTTTGCTGTCGAAAAAAAAAAAACATGAACCACACATTTGGCAAACTTCAAACATGTCAACAGGTCGAGGTTGTTGGACGGAGCCTTCTTCTTCAACGGCAGGTCTGGCGATTCTGCCGACGGTGAGTCAGCGAGGTCAAGGCTTGGCCCAGAAATATTTTGCGACCAGGAGGATCCCACCAGGACGGAGAAGCGACTGCCCAGGCGACAAAAACTTCTGAGGGAAAGGCTGCTGCCGCAGCTAAGGAAATCAAGGATGGCCACGCTGCTACCCATACGAGCAAAACTTCGCAATGCCATGCTGCTGCCAAGTTGGACACAGTCGAGGACAGACAGGCTGCTGCCAAGTCTGGCCAAGCCGTACACAGCCAGTGTGCTACCCAGGCGAGCAAAACTTCGCAATGCCATGCTGCTGCCATGGTGGGCAAAATCGAGGACGGACATGCTGCTGCCAAATCTGGCCAAACCGTACACGGAGAGACTGGACGCACCCCCAACTGACAGAGTCGTGTCCTCAGTTGTCCGAGTCTGCGATGCGATGGTCGCCTCCCTTTTGATGGCAACCCAGGATGTCTTCACCGTAGCAATGCCATAGCACACCGCAACTCCCACGCTCTGCCACTGCTTGTCCTCTGGGTTGGGCAGGCCATGGGCCTCCCCCAAAACCGAGTGCGGAAAAGACTCCAAAGATTCCACCAGGTGCCACGCCGCCATCGTGTGCAGGGCTTGGCCGTCTCGTCGCGCCACTGGGGCGCTGAGGTTGAAAGGCTGGCCTCTGCGTTTCCCTGACACGCGGATGGTCTCTGGCAATTGGTCACCGTTGAGGCGGCCCAAAAAGGCGTAAGCAAACCAGCGCCGCCCCCAGTACGCTGGAGCCAAGGGTGACACCTCCAAAGGGCCCCACAGGAACCCGCCCTGTGACACAAAGCGCTCAATTCTGCTGTCGCGGCTCTGGGCTGATGCAACGGAGTCCGGCAAGGAACCCCCACGTTTCAACAAGAGCGGCGAGCGAGGCCAGTCAATGGTGAAGCCATCAGCTGGTGCCTGAAGGGCTGCAGCCATGATGCTGACAACTGTCTCCTCCAGGTCCTCCTCCTGCCAGGGCGGAAAGGCCATCAGCTGGTCTCTATCTTGTTCTGCACTGCATGCTGATGTTGTATAAAAAAACATAAAAACACGTGTATACGGAGGGTCTCCCCAATCGCCGGCCAATCGCGATCCAATCGCGATCCCACAAGGTCCAATCGCGGAGCAACATTGGGCATCGCTGCTGTTTCTGTTTTGCTTTTCGCCGTCTTGTCTCAAGCGCAGGGCTTCCCCCATCCATACCTAGAAGCAGGAAGAAAAGGCTTGCTGGTGCAACTCGTCCAATAGCCGTCCTACCGTGGTCCATCGCGGAATTCGGTGGCAAAACTTCAGTTTGCAGCCTCCTGCCCTTGCCAGCAAGCAGATTTGGAAGCACAGCGTGGGCCTCGCAAACGAAATCAACATTCAGGATTCCAGGAGAAACTTTTGTGGGAGTACGCGCAGTCATTCTGAGCGAGACGTGCGTCGGCACCACGACACACAGTGCCATGCGCCAACAAACGCGCTGATCGTGCTGGTTGGGAGACAGTCACCTGAGAGTGTTGTTTGGAGAGGGCTTCTTAAGTCTGAAGATTCGCAGCAAAAGAAGTATATGAGCATCACTACCTTGAACGATTGTGGCAGTGCCATGAAGAGTTACGGCCGCGCCAAGAATTGTGGCTGAGTTTGGAATACCAGGCTTTTCTGAAGCACCCCCCGAAAAGGCAGCTGTTTCATTTTAGCATTCCCGCGCAACCCTTTGGCAAATCTGGCTTGTTGACCACGGCCGACCACCATAGACTGTGGACGTTTACTACTTTTGTGGCTCCCGACTGTCTGCGGGGAACTTGCCCAGGAACTTGCGCAGGGAAACTTGCACAAAGAACTTGCGCATGGACACTTCCATGAAGATCTTGCACAAGGAGCCTGCAGAGGGAGCTTAGGCAGAGACCACTGCAAGCAGCAGGGAACTTGCGGAGAGAGCCTGCGCAGACTCACTTTCGCTCACTTCGCAAACTTGCACAGAAACTTGCCCAGGATTGCGAAGGAGCCTGGCGCAAAGGAGGCCTCGCCGTGATCACTTCACGGCGCTTGCGCGTGCTGACTTGGTATGAACATATTACATGCTTTTGAGCTCCCCGTCGTCAAGTTTCTGTCCTACGCTTTCAGGCTCGCGATTCGCGCAGTACAACCGCAGTACACTTTGGCAGCTCCAGCTCAAAAGCGTAACTTGTCAGTACAAGTGTAGTAATATAATTGGCGCGAAGTGCGCTTGGTCAGCTCCAGCGCAGTGCAACTTACGGACTCGTTTCGGACTCTCCTTGGTATCGCAGTCGTCTCGTTTCATCTCGCTTTGCGCGGATTTCTACAACACTGACACACTACCTTGTTTTGAGTTAAGATTGGGGGGAACAACTCGTTCCACAGCAAACAATCATGTTGTGTAGATCGTTTGTTGTAGAAGAAGTAGTAGTCGATGAACATGTTTTGACACTTTCCGCCCTATGGTCAACATGGCAGCGTTCTAAAATAGGGGAAGCCCTTGAAATGCGTGTTGTTCCTTGTGGTTTCCCTTCACTGACCAATCCAAAACAAGGCCACCCTCTAAAGCAGGCAAGCCCATTGTTTCATAGCCCCACACCAGAAAGAATGACTGCGCAAGGGACCTCCACAGGTGTTCGCTCGTTTTACCCGCCAACCAACAAGCTCGTCCTTTGCCCGAAGAATTGCCCAGTTCCCCAAAAGGCACCCTGGGTTTGAGTTGTCCTCTAACCTGCTGGCGGCCAGAAGCAAGCTTCATTTACCTTTGTGGCCCCTGACTAGACCAATGAAGGAACCTAAAACAACATCACGATTGGCAAAACAAAAAGTAAGATGTCCCCCCAATGCCATGCCTTGAGTCTTTGAAAGGAGAGATGAAATCCAAGGCTGGCCCCTCTGCCAATTCCATGTTCAAGGGGCTGGGGATGCTTTGAGTCTTTGAGTTGCCGGGATATCCTGACGAAGGGTGCCCAAAATCACGCGCCGCTTCCGCCCGCGATTTCTTCAGCTCCCACCTCACCATCCGCCACGAAGCGCGCGGTGCCGTGCCCTGCTCGAGCCAAACCCTCCACCAAGGCGGTGGAGGCGCCATCGCCCAGGCCCAGCGTGTGAACGCTGCAATTGGCCTCAAGGGATTTGACCGCGTTCAAACATACCGCGAGGCAGGGGTTCAAGGTCCGTTGGTTGGACCCTTCTCGTCACCAAGGATCTCCGTTAAAAGGCTCCAAACTCAAAAGGATCCATCACCCCTTAGAGTTTCCAAGGGTTCCAAGAAAGTCCCCTCAAACCACGACCTCACCAAAAGGAAACTCACTTCCAATTTGGGCAAGGGCTGCAACGGTTACAGGCCTTATTTCAGCACCCATGAAACCAGGCAGTAGAACCGCACTTGCCAAAGGAGGGTTTTAGGCGCTGCTCAAATTGTTGGCTTCTCAAAATGTTGGACCCCTTTGATGGCTATTAAGGTCAACCATGTCAACCATGAAGCACAAGCCATTCCTTGAAGGTACCAATTTTGAGAACCATGGCAACTCTGCAGCCTGACACAGGCGCCGAGTCGTTCGCAGCAGCTGATCCGAGTTCCACACAGCGCCGTCGGTCAACACGAGTACCCGTCTGAGTTCGCATCCCTCCGACAAAGGAGCCGACAGCACGGTCTCCAGCGGCGAGTGCATCTGCGGGAGGCCAACATGACCTAACCCTTCCAACAAAAGCAAAAGCAAAAAGGAGTCTTTATGGACCACGCAAAAATGAGGACCTACTGCGCATGGTGATACCAAAGTAGGTCATGACTACTTTATTGCTTGAGGGGGTCTGGTATCACAGGCAGGCTCTGGCAAAACCCCAGACCTAGGATCTGTCTGTAGGGAGGTTACCTTGAGTCAAGAGAAACCTACGTGGAAATCAGAACATGCTCACCTACATGACCACCGCATCCGCCCCAATTGGAGAAAAACTGTTACAACACAAGCCTACCAGCGAGCAACTCGGCTGGTCTCAACCTAGGGAAGCCTCAAACATGGCACACCCAACGGAATCACAATACACACCTACTCTCACTGGTCCAAAGGACCTGGAAACAAACGGTGAACCTTTTGGGACCTTGCCTAAAAAGGACACCAAAAGGTACTAAAAGGGCCTGCCTAAACCACAAAGAATCGAAAGGGTGAACTTTCGCGCCAGTTTCTGGCGACTGCTCTTTGCCCGTCTACCCGGGCTGTGAGACGTGACAACGGTTGCTTCCATTGGCCCAAGTCCCCTCAAAAACCATGCTCAGTGATAGAGTCCCTTCAAACCAAAGGGAAATAAAACACATATGTTTTTGTGTCTGTTTTTTCTCGGGGGACCCTCTTTTCGTTGGTTTTCAGGGGAAAGCGACGGGAAAACCCATGAAATTGGGGGGGGGGTCCCAACAAAAAAGGCGCACCCAAAGCAACTTCAGATAGAACCCCTGAGGTTCAACCCGCAAAGAATGCTTCACCCAATTTGCACATCAGGCAACATATTTGTGCATATATTGATCCTGATCCAACCTTTGTTTTAACTTGCTGGTGCGATAAGCAGGGAATGAACCCTGTAAATCATCAACTGGGGGTTTCCTGGGGAATCCAATGTTCCAGACGTATCGCGCCAGCAAGTTATTTGTGGTGTGAAACCCAAAAGGTTCACCCACTTTGGATGAAAACGTTTGGGCACAAATTGGTGGTCACATTCACCCAAGCATTGTGTTAATGGTGGTCCCTGGTAGTTGCCTAAGGATTTAATATACCCACCTGGTAACTGGTGGTTCTGATGTTTTCAATCCCACCCCCTGACCGCCACCCCCGGGAAGGCTCACGTCCCCTGCCTCGGTGCCCCCAAGGTTGGCCTCCAGGCGCCGCGCGTAGGTCACCGCCTCGCCGAAGCGCGGGCCCCGCAGCTTCTCCGCGCCGTCGAAGAGCCGCGAGGTCGTGCTGCCGAAACCCACGAGGTTCACCCGAGCCTTCGGGGCCGGCCCCAAGGCGGAGGAACGGATTTCTGGAACATCGCCCGGTTCGGAGGTTTAAAGGACAAAGGAGAAAGGAAAAAAAAACACGATCTTTCCGATCTCTTTAACACCTAGGAGGCATTGCATGGCACAATGGCTAGATATCGGCGCAAGCTTGTTCCTTGCGCATGCCTTGGACTGAAGCACATACCATCAATTGTATGCACAAAAAATATCGGTTCTTTCAAATTTGCAGGACCACATTTCTTAGCTACTGCCGCTTCGGCGATCTGTAAGCCATAAGGATAGACAGGGCTCTTTTCTCACCTCCTTGGGGAGACATCCAAAGCATGATTCAAGCTTCATCTAACAATGAAAAGGGCACCTTCTACACCCGCGGGTGAATTTCAACCTGGAACCGCAACCTTCATGTCCGGTCTGTTTCGGACCCAGTTCTTCCGGCATTTTACTGCAAGGTTCCCTCGACTACACCTCGATACAAATACCAACCTGCACCTGGACAAGGGTCCTTCATGCAGCACGAGGTGCATAAGAGTTTATTAGCCCAGAAAGGTGGCCGCAAACTTGGGGCTAACTGAAAAATACCACCAACCAAAATATCGCTTTACAAGGTGATGTAATTCATCCCAGGCTCTTGTTGAAATGGACATCCCAGAAAAACACGCCCCCAGAATTTTGGGACCGACCCCTCCCAGCAAGTGAAGCGGAACCTAGCTGGGAGCTCCTTTGAGGGAGCAACAAAAAAATGGCCCATGTCCAGCTGCCCCCGCCGCAGTCCTCTGCCGGCATTGACCGTACAAAGTGCTCCAGCGCGCCCCTCGCCAGCTGGATACGCTTGCCGCTCATAGAGCCGCTGCGGTCGACTAGGAAGGTCACCTCCACCTGCAATCAGTCTTGGACCCTTGATTGAATGACTGACTGGCTGGCTGGCTGACTCGTTGACATAAATATTGCAACACAGCAGGCGCGATTGTTGCTATGAAGAACATCGCTTAACATTGCACACCTGACAGCCATGGGAGACACCTGGCTATGCCATTGGTTGACGATACCCTTTTGTGGGTTTGCAAACATGGGCAGCGTTGAACTGGTCATGGTACGCCCCCCGACATGTTATCTTCAGTGGGCATTCCGGATTCTATCCAGAGATCCTTCAAATCAAAAATCAATTGGAATTGCTCAGAAGTTCAGAGAATTGGGTGGGTTTGTATCAACTTGCTTTGTGCAGCCCTCTGGGTGCCGCAATGAGAAGCGTCAGGAACCCTTCGTCAAGGAGAAGGGGACTCAAGCTTTATTACCACCATCAATCACGGATTTGAGAACTAATCCGCCAGACCAAAGGCAACAAGGTGCTTGGTGCAAAGCATCCCTCGTTTGAACCGTTCACGTGGGTTGGCTGATTCTTCCAAAGCCCTCGTGACCAATGGAAGCTGCCACCCACAATGGTGAAAGGAGCAGCCGAGCCGGCTCCTGGCTTTGCAATGCCAAACTGCCTACTTTTCAGATTCCCTGCACTCTCTGCTTGCCACTCACACCTGAGCGGTGCCTGTTCTTGCTTTCAATCTTGAACATTGACATGTCTTGCTTCGCAGTTGCTTCCAAAGCACCGGCTTCTTCCGCGTTACATGTGTTGCATTGCTTCAACGTTGTTTGCGCAAGCACCTGCCTGCCAAGGGCTGTCAAGTGCTACAACAGAAGCACAACCACTGCTCAACAGCTGGCCGCGCAGGAGGTTCCTTGCTTTGTTTGACCACCAGCGCTACAGGCTTGGTGACCAAATGTAACTCCGAAGACACCAAATTCTGTTTAAGGCTCGGAGCAATGAGAACGTTTCCAACAAAGGCTGTAGCTTTGGGAAACAACCCTTGTGAACCATGACTTGCAGAAAGCGGCAACAAACTCAATGGAGTATGCACTTTTGAGGGGGGTTCCATTTATTTCCCTTTGCACCATCCTGAAAACGGTACCCTCCACAAACGAACAGACTTTTGAAAAGAAGACACACACAAACAAACGAGCAAGCAAGCAAGCAAACAAGCAAACAAGCAAACAAGCAAACAAACAAAGAAAGAAGCAAATAAGCAAAGAAACAAAGAAGCACACCAATACAGAACCAAAGAACCAAATAACCGAACAACACACACCAATTTTCCACGCGGGCGTGCCTTATCCAGGAGGTCCCAGTCAAAGCTTGGGACCATCTCCAGGAGCCCAGCCCATGTCTTGGTGACCGGGTGCTGCTCCAGAACCGCGCGCAGCGGCAGCTTCTCCTGACGCAGGGGGCGTAGGTCAACGGGGGTGGGGAGGATTCCTTGAAGGTCAACTCCGGGTTCCACTGTCTTGAGCAATGTGTCGTACTTGAAAGTCAAAGGGAACAAGAACGGCCAAAATTGGATCCCCAACCGGACATTTACAGTACAATCACCCAGTCTCCCTTGTTGCCTACTTGTGATCAACTATCCCGGAACCATACACACATGGTCGCATACATTCCGCGTTTCCACTTGCGGCTGCTACTTTTTGCTTGTACGCATCCATTCAATTTCTCATTGGACATTTTAATTTGCTGCACAAAGCCGAATCTGTCCGCTTGCGATCCTCCGCAAAAAGTAAGAAGTCAACAAGTGAGCTGGGTGCTAAATAGGGGGTGTGGCCAAATTGTGTGACACAGCATGCAGCGAGAAAGAAATAGACTCCTCCTCGAAGTGGATTCGCAGGACCACATCCCGGTTGAGCTCCTCTTCATGCTCCTCCCCCATCTCCAGCTCAGCCGTCACTGGCCCTGTGTTGAATCAAGTATCCAAATCCAAAACTTGCCCAGCCGATCCAGCACATTCACTAGTATTCAAGGACACTGAGTGCAGGCCTAAACTTCAAGGAATCTCAAGCTACCTTCCTTCACTTCGGCCCCTGCCTGTGTCTCCCTCCTTCCTTGTCACAATCAAGTGCCCGTGGGACGGCGAAGTGACCTTGCTTGCTGAGTGACGCAAAAAAAAGGACCACCTTGCTCGGCGCTTGAAAGCTAAGGGTCAGCATTTCAGAAAAAAAAAGCACGCGGTGGCGATACCGTTCTGAAAGCTGAACTACCGTCGCCGCCGGCCGGACCACCGTGCGCACGCGGAAGGAGCCAAGACGAGCGCTGGGCGCGTCGGCCTCCCAAGATCTCCTCCGTTGCTTTCTGCTCCCCTGCCAAAAGTTTAACTCTTGTGGCTTAATGGAAAAAACCCATTAGTTGGCAAAAAGTTAAAGTCCTAACATCCAAGCAAACTGCACCAAAGTCTCTGCGCCGCCATAGCCTCGAGGCCCCTCTCTGCACAGCTCCCACCTCCGCAGTACCGGGGCGGGGGAAGCCTCATGGCCGGGAGCAGGAAGCGTAAGAAGTTCCGGGGATCCTGGGCGAGACATTGACCAGTTTGAACACTTGTCCAACGCTGTCGACATAAAACTGTGGACAAATCCACACCCTTCCACCCAAACGGGTTGGACCATCCTCTCGGATTTCTTGAGCTGTGCAAGCATCCTGCATGTTGGTGACTTCCAGGGCGGGCTCTTGCACAAAGGAGATGTTGATGTACGCCAGCTTTCGGGTCGCCACGTTCCCCAGGGAGATGCGATACAAATCCTGGCCCATGGTCTATGGTTCTGAAACCTTTGGGGTGATTCTTAAGTAGGATTCCCATCCCTAGGTTTTTTTACTCCAAAGAGGATTTCCATTGGTAGCAAAGACACCGGCAACCTAATGTGCATGGACAAAATCAATTTCGCACCGCGTAAGATCGCGTAAGAATCCCTGGTTTCTGACGATTCGCGTGTAAATACCAACAAACAATAGTTTCAACCGTGGCTTCAAAGTGCCGATTCTCAGGTGGGATTCCCATCCCTGGTTTTATCACTCCAAAGAGGAGGTATACTCCAAAAAGAGGATTCTCTTGGTAGAGAAACTGGCAACCTAATGTTGACCCCAGATTACTCAACCCCAGTTTATTGATAGGAGGTGTTTCCCTCCAAAAGTGATGATTCCCCACTAAACCAAAAGACTTCAGGCCCGGTGGAAGGACGAACTCCAGTTCGCATCACCTGAGAACCCTTTCTGCTGATTCCCATTTTCGAAAATACCAACAAACCATGGTTTCAACCGTGGCTTTAAACCCGAAGACCCCATGGGCCCCACACCCCCCACTCCGTCCTTGCCATCCTCCGCCTTCTTCTCCGCTGCAGGGCCGTGAGACCCCAAGGCCGCCTCCGAGCCTTGCTGCACCGCTTCGGTAAATGCTGCGAAAGCGGCTTGACGCTCCATGACCTGCGCGGCGTCATGTGGCCATGGGTCGTACCCCCAGGGAACACCCAGTCCCCACTAAAATAGAGTAAAAATGGATGGTGAATTCACCTACCCCAAAATGGTGCCATTGGTTTTGACCCACAGCCATATGCCCACTTGGAGTGCAGGTGTTCATTTTATTCAAGGAAACACGGGTCATGAATAAAGAAACACCCCTCATAGCGGATCTGGGCCGCCTCACTATACATGAAGTAGTGACTGACATTCCAGGCGAGACAGGAGCGGTGTCCTTTGAGTGTTCTTCAAAGCACGTCACCTACGACACTCTGACTTGGCTGTTTAAGCAGTTGACATTGCACCAAAGTATCTATTTCCTGTTGGCCTCCTTTTGAAAGCAGCTCACCTAAGGGGCCCAATCTGACACATCCCTCGCCTTGGCATTGATCACATGGTCATTGATTTGCGCTGTGAGGCCGGTCACGACGACTCCTTCGTGGATGGGGAAGATGAAGGATGAGTCTTTGACCTGCTCAGCAGTGGAGTCGAACGCGAAGACCTGCAGGCTTGTCGACATGTGGTTTGGGCCCAAGAAAAGCAAACCTCTCTTCCCGCCGTTGTGCCCCCTAGACCGGACTTCGGCAAGGGCAGCAAGTGGCAACTGTGATCAAACGGCAAGATTGTCCTTGAGTCCTTTGCAGGAAGCACCGTGAAGAGCAACGCATGGGTATGAGAAAAAACAAGGGGCCCTTTGCTGGGCATCATTTATATACATGAAGCATTGTGCCTTATCATTTCGGAGGGGTGCTCCGATATATTCTAAGAGCCTCACATGGGCTTGTCTCTAGGGGTAGCCAACCCAAGCAAGGGCTCTGCTCAAAGGACCCACACAAGTCTTGCCAAGTGAAGGAAACCTCCGAATGAAGCAACAAGTTGAGAAGGTCAGCGATGCGCCTGGCAATGACAGTGGGGCAAGGCCACCAAACAAAACGGGAGAAAGGGGGGCTGCAACACGCCACAAACCGCCTGAGAGAGCGTTGCAAAGGCCAGCGCTCCCTGCACCTCAACTTCTGCTGCTGCAGCCACCAGCCTGGCACGCAAGTGGGGCGGGGGGTATTCTTGATGGCGTCCCCTTTTGGGGAAGCCAAATACCAGCCTAGGTAGAGGGTTTCCAAGCACTGATGAACCGAAATCAGAAAATACCCCCTTGCAACGAGGGGGGCCAACTTGATTTCGGACAAAAGGGTGTCAAAGCAAATCAGCTCAGCCTCGCAATGCAGTGAGCAGACCCGGGCCCGCAGTTGCCAGCCAGCTGCGAAGCCAGCGATGTGCAGAGGCACAGAGAAATCGTCAAAGGCACTGCCCAAGCCATCTGAGACCGTTGGGATTTTCCAGGGATGCTGCAGCCAAAAGCTGCACGCGGGAACAGATGTCCAGAGACACTGGAGCTTCTGAGACCACAGAAAGCACATAACATTGCCAAGACATGATCCGAACAGATACCACAACGAGGTAGGTTTGTCTAGCAAGAAGGCTCCGCGCTGGATATAATCCCAAAACCTGAAGTTAACCAAAGCCAAGGCCCGCTTGGACAATCGCTGGTTGGAGCTCGTCATATCGGCAGAATGCGCTCGCCTCGCCACCCTGAAGTTCCAGCAAACGTCCAGGTGGCCGACCTAGGGAAGCGACCCACTTCGAAGAAAGTGCAAAACCGCGCCAACACATATTATGGGAGTCATTCTTTTGGGGTGCCTGGCCTTTTGGCAGGTTTTTGGATATGTGCTGTGTTTTGGAATCTCCCCCCTTTTGGTTGGTTTTGAGGGAGAAAAAACGCGACAGAACAACCATTGTGCAACTCTTGCAGGAGTTCACCTGCTCAAAGCACTTCCAAAGAGACGAGCGCACAGAGACAGACAGACAGACAGACAGACAGACAGACAGCCAGACAGGCAGGCAGGCAGGCAGGCAGGCAGGCAGGCAGGCAGGCAGGCAGGCAGCCAGCCAGGCAGGCAGAGACAAACAAACAAACAGGCAGGCAGACAGACAGACAGACAGTCAGACAGACAAACAGGCAGGCAGGCAAACACCAGACCAGACCAGACCAGACCAGACCAGACCAGAGCAGACCAGACCAGACCAGACAGCCAGCTAGCCAGGCAGACAAACACATGTGTTGTTCCAGGTAGGCCGAGCCTTTCCCAAACAACACCAGGAGCCCCTGCGCCATAGGCGCAGAATGATAGGAATAAGCCAATCATTTGTGCCTTAGATGGGTGTATCCAGGGATCTGTGGACACCTTTGATTGATTGGTTGTTCTGGTGGCAATGTCGGCGGCTCTGTGGAAATGGACTCATCCAACCTGTTCAAGCAGTCAAGGAGCTGGTTTATCTGACGAGCTTCGCAGCATATGTTTGCTATCCCAACATTGACCAACATGAGTGATCTTTGAAGTTCATATGTTTGACTACCTCGTGATGGCGGTCATAACTTGAGCCAAAACGGCAAGTACACTGTTACATCAACAAAATACTACATTTAGCAACTGTCGAAGAACTGTCAGAGGCCAAACAACTTCAAACCCATCGTTGGTTTCCATGCTCTGCCCGTGGCCGACTGCGCTTACGGCCCCCTGGAAGCTGTCGCTTCATTAAGCGCACTTCATTGTCAGCCACAAAGGCATGTCGCAGCCCTGAAATGTAAGACTCCGGCAACAAACAATTGAGCCAATCTTGTAAACTATAAACCAACCCAACAACACATAAACTAAACAGAACCAATCAACAAACTAACGCAAATGTCGGAAACTATGAGCACCAGTCCACACCTTTTTCGGTTTTTGGCCTGTTCAGCCGGACTCCCGGGTTATCCGAGCGCCAATAAGGGCTCTCTCTTCGGAGCAAAAGACATTGAAGCGCGACGGGGCCGCGGCGAGCGGAAGGAACACACGCAGTGAATGTTTCCGGATTCGATATTTCTCGAGGGTTGCCAAATGGAGACAACTTGACTAATAGGTTATTTAAATGAAGGAAGGAGCCAATAACAAAGGTCTGAACCTTTGACACTTGAAGGGGCCGAACTCAAACATGTTTGCAATGAGGGAGTCCCAGCCCATCGACCCTGGTGGAAATAAGGTGCCTTTGTTGGGGTTTATCAGTTCAAGTGGTGAGGCCAGGGGAAGGGTGTCACTGAACAAACAAAGAACAGATTGAGTCAAATCAGTCGTCGAGGGGAAGCTGCCAGTTTCCAAACCTTGGGAAATGCCCGCCGCGGAACACTGCCAAACTTAAATCCATTCAAGGATCTCAGCGATGGCTTGCTGAACCCCTTCTAACCTGCCGAGTTGACTAGCCAAAACTTGTTTGAACCCTTGCCACACTGAAAACACCTGGCACAAAGTTCACTGGTCAACTCAACAGGCAAGTGACCAATACACACAGATTGGGTATCCCATGCTATCCCAGTGGCGTTCTGCCACGAATGAGCTCACTTGACGTGGAGGTTCACGTACTCCCTGCCGGGCTTGGGCCGTTCATGTTGCATGTCATCAGCATCCCTCGGAAGCAAATATGAGGTCAATAAGCAAGTTCAGGGGAGCTGAGAAAACTCGGCAAGCTTCCCATTTTTTTTAACTGAATTCACGCATCCTTTTGTTCAGCTTTTGGAGATACATGGCAATCATCAGGCAAAGGCACCGTGACGAATGACATGCAAGCTGATATTGACCTCAAAGATTGCTCGCGGCCTTCTCTGGTTGCTTCGCACTATTTTTCATGGCCACCGATATGTCCCTGAATAGGTGGAAGGCATCTGACGTGATTCAGAGACACTCAAGCAGAACCACCAAAAGGGCCGGGCATGGACGGAGGCGATTGCAAAGATAGTGTGCAGGCAGCAACCCTGAAATCCCTGCCTCTGACGGCACTGCTATGGACCAGAACCCGTCAAACCGCAAGTGTTTGCGCCTGCCGAGTGGGCAGCGGAACGTGCCCAGTGCCGAAAAACAAAGCGTCAAGCAAGTCTACTAAATAAACCTTCCCAAAGCCGGCCGGTACCACGGTCGAAGCGACTCAGCACAAGCGGAACGAGTCGAAGAGTGCCAGATTCGATTGCCGCTACCAGTGCTTTTGGGTGCCATGCTTCGACAGCAAAAATGCCAACTTCCCTCCTCCATGCAACCCGTGCAAAAGAACAAGTATTCCCTTACCATAATCAAATTTGAAAGGTGATGTTTCAAACGTCCAAAACGTCGCCTTGCGTCATGGTGGCTTGGTGGTTTGTGGCTTGATACCAGCGAAAGCAGCCCACCTCGCCAAAATCGCACCGTCACACCAAGTTGCACAAAACAATGGAGCCGCCGAGTCGTGTTGCAAGAGCTCAGCAACAACGCATGGCTGGAATGTTTCAGAATCAGTTCTGAACAATAATCAAAGTCAAGCTGACAGAGGAATTGCCCTGCATTCGGATGAATCTTACCTCCTAGGTCGTGAGGTGGATCTCATTCACCCAGTTTTGCGATACCCTTTGAATTCTCTCAAGCATCCCCCAACCTCAATCAAAAAGTTTTGACCCAATCCACTGGAGGACCTAGTAAACCATGAGTGTTGAGTGCCATTATTGGCTGCGCCCAGATGTTGTCCCCGCTCTGCCGGCAAGGGTCATGTTCCATTGCCCACAGGGAATCACTAGAGAGGTTAGAATAGGGGTACCCTTTTTTTGTGTACTCTATTTTAGTAAGGGAACCCTTCCCCAAAAAGGGGGTGAGAAAGGGCACTACTGGGGGACCTAGTCTAGACGGTTAGGAAGCAAAGCACCTCGTGAGAGCTGTGAGGACCTTTGCAGCTTGCGCCATCTCTCCGGCTGCAGGCTGGGGAATATGCAGCGGCCAATTTCAAAGGAGACTCCAAACCTTTGCGCTTCGGTCATCCCTCGCTAAACGTCATTCAATATGGCATAACCCCCATTGAACTCTGAAAGTCAAACAGCCCAAGCGTACTTAGGAAAGGCTACAATTCTTAAAGCG